GGGGGGGGGGGGGGGGGGGGTTGGGGTTCAGTTTATAAGTGCAGCATGTGTCCTCCTGTGGGAAAATGAGAGGCTGTCTGTCGAGCTGCTGACTGATAATCTAGCACTGAGAATGAGGAACGTGCAGATTCTCCTCAAACAAGGTACTCCTTCCCTTACACGGAAACCCCGCGGCCGCGGAAGGCCCGCACCCTTGGCTCAGATACAGCTGCAAGAGGGACCGCTGGGCCCAGCCTGGACCCCCTCAACCCAAGGAACAGGGCTCTGCAGCCCCCTCTGGGTCCGATCCAGCGCCTGGGAGAGGCAGACAGGGTCTGGCAGGAATCACCCCAGGATGAAGGCGGCTGGCCTCAAGCAGCAGTCCTCAGGACCAGGGCCACGCCAGGTGGCAGAACATTCTTCCCCAAGCAAAGCGCTGCTGTCGAGTGTCGTTCTGACTTGCAGAGTGTTGTTCACAGTTGGGAAGGACAACCGATCGGTCTTGACCCAAACAGCATTCCAGGGAATCTTCCTAATCCACTCATGTCTTCTGTTTTCTCCAAAGCTAAACGCGTGTTATTTTGGAGATACCAATGTAACTGACAAAAGTAAACACCAGAAACAGGTAGGCACAGAAACCTAAAGAGAAGAGGTGACATCAGAGACGCCATCAGACTTTCCACATAAGCTTCATATGGAAGTCGGCCATCTCTCCTGTCATGCTCGAGGCCCCGGAAACCAGGCATCGAGTGTACCCAACCAGCCATCGGCCTATGTCCACGGTCACCCGTCTTTCCGCGATGGCAGCGGCCGCGAGTGTTCTGAGAGGCAGTGCAAATATTAAACTAGCTTCCAAAGAATCACCACAAGCTCACTGTACTTACCTACCCTCTCCACAAAAACTGGTAAAAGAGTGAAGCAGACAATTTTCCACAATTTATTCCCCACAATCTTTAAACACCTGTGTTAACAAAAAGCTAAGTTCCTAAATACAGACGAGCCTCGGTTTTGGCTGCAGTGGAGACTGAGGGCCTCGTGCGGGCCGGCGCTCAACCCGAAGCCCCCACCCCTTCTTTCGGAGAAGCAGGAAGGCAACGGTTCTGGGAAAGCCTGTCAGGCCCGGCGACCCCCTACCCTCCCTCACAGCCCGGGGCACACATGCCGAGCCAACCCCACCTGCAGTCGCCTGGAAGCAAGTCCCGCCACTCGGCCTGCTCCAGGAAAGACACAGGACGGCGCGTCTGCTGTGGGCTGACCCTCCGAGAACCACGGACGCGGGTCCCGGCTGGACACTCACTGCCCTCTGACGTCAAAGCTAACAGTCAGCGCTCATCTAGGGACGACGAGCTGAGCCGGCGCGAGGCGGCCCGTGCATGACACAGCTCCCCGAGGTTCTCTACGTGGCATCTCCTGGCCTTGCTGACATACTAGAAACAGGAGGACACGTGCAGTGAACAAGCCATCGGAGGAAGCGGGGCACTGTTCCAGAAGGCCTCCTGATAAAGAGGAGACTCCTGTTCACCTAGGAACTTCCCATCTCGACCCTGCCTCCTGCGTTTCTTCTCATGCCTCCAGGACAGAGACCGGCTCTCCCTTCGGGGCTCCTCAGAGCCCTCTAAGTGGGTGCTATGGGGTCTCGGGGTCCACAGATGCTCCCAGAAGTCATGCCGCACACCACCACAGACGGACCTCAACTGGAGGTACGCGACTTCCCCCAACTGTTACCAGAACGACGGTTCAAAACTGGTTTGGTGAGTGCAGACTGAAGGGAAAACGCGCTCCGGTTTCCCAGCCTCATTCCAGAACCGCCGCGGCGCAGACTCACAGGTGGCCTCACGTAACCGTGGTCCCCTCGGACGTGAGCTGCTTACCAGTGTGCAACACGGCAGGTTTAAAATCAGCCCGGCCTCGCCAGACCGGACTCGCCTCACGTGCACGCAGACTGCCATCTTCGCGCTGTTACGACAGTTCCAGCTTCACAGTAAAACATCAGGGATTCCCAGAGCGACGGCACACCAGCCGTCGGTCAGGCGTCTCACGGGCGGCTCACGGCAACCTGCTGATGACGGGCCGTTCACTCCAGCAGGTAAAGCCCTCACGGAGGGAACTGGGAGTCCAGACGAACAAGGCAGCGCACAGTGCGGCGGGGCCCTCCCGCTCCAGGGACAGCCCCACCGTCCCAGGCAGGTCACCGAGACACGGAGGATGCCTTCCAGCAACGCCTCGCCAGCTTCCGGGCACACGCCTTGCGGGGACAGATGTGCCGCGGTGGCGCCGGGACAGTCGGACCACACAGGCTCCCACCCCAGCTGCAGAGCGACGGCAGTGCAGCGGGTGGGAAGGTCCCCACTGCACCAGCCCACGGAAGGCTCGGCCACTCGGTGCACCTGCCGTGCCCGGGGCCGGGCCCCGTACGAGAAGTCTCGAGAATGAAGTCACTGTGGCAAGTCCCTGTGAGATCGCTCCTCGTGCAAACAGGGCTCAGGTGGATTCTTGCTTGTCTCAGGAAATACCCAGACTTACAACTGGCCACTGAGTTGTTAAGTATCATTCAAAACAAGGTAGTTTTAAAATGAAGAGAAAATATTGCAACACGAAGGAAGGAATACATTAACTTGCTCTTCCAGCCCAGGTAGCAGCCTCACTTCCTCCTCCTCCTCTCCTGAACACACCGCGGACAGAACCTGAGGAGAGAGGCACGGTGATCGGCCCTGTGCGTGAGGAGGCCCACCCCGCCCCCCAGGTCTCCAGGGACGGTGGCCGTGTCACCGAAACCACGCCGGCAGAGAGCACACGGCTCTCCCACCGGACGCCCCGGCAAGAGGAGACCCCCAGCAAGTCGCTGTGGCCAGCGTGTGTTTCCAAGGTGACAGAAACGAGTCAACAAGCAAGACTGTCCGTACGAACGAATACGCCTCTTGACCCAGTTTCTTGGCCCTCCCTGTGAGACAATGTGGCCACCGGGGACCAAAGTGGAGGCGACACCCACAGTCACATCGGCAGACCAAGCGCGGCGGAGGATGAACCAGCGCGCTCCAGCAGGTGGGGCAGGCCAAGAGGGCCCTGGAACCCGCATGGTTGGCGAGTGCTCCCCGGGGACCCTGGGCAGGCAGGCTCAGCGCCTCAGACACCGGGGGCCGCTCCTGGTCACGCCTGGACCACGGCAGCTGTCAGTGACACCAGGGGACCTTCCAGCTGCTCCCGATGCACGTGACTGTGCCCCCCCCAGGCCCCCGGCCGCCCCGTTCCCCAGTGTCCGGTCTGTGCCAGTGAGCGAGCACTGAGCGCGCCCCCGGCCCTGCCCCCCAGGGAAGCAAGGCTCCAGCGGCAAATGCACTCACGCAGGCTCATGCCGCAAGAACATGTCAGAACAAATCTCACTTAATAGGGAAGAAGCCTGAACACTTTGTGATTCTGGAAAGACCCCAGAGAAACCCTGAGTCAGACAACAGGGGGGAGCCCCACCCTGCCTCCCCGCCTCTGCCCACGGGGCACAGACCCCCTGCTGCTCGACCCTCCCAAGAGGCAAAACCGTCTTCCAATGCCCACTGACTCTCCCACCCGGAAGTTCCACCAACAACTCAAACACACATCGGAACCCGAATCACGTGTCCCTGCCCCCCACCCCAGCAGGAGGCCCGCAGCCCCCCACCCGGGTGCCCGTGCCCCAGCTGCAGAGCACGGTCAAGGGCTGCGCAGTCACTGCTCAGACTTCCTGAGGCGATCTGGGGCCGGGACGCACATGGGGCCAGGCACATGAGCACCCCCTCAGCCACTGCCCACTGAGCCCTGGGGACAGCACAGCCTGTCCTTCAGGGGTCTGTCACCACCCCCCATCCACATACACGCGAACACGGAGGACAATCTCCGAGCCTGCATTTTAGAACTGAGACCCACTTCACCCACAGGTAAATAAAACCCGCTTTTTCCTTAAATTAACTCTCGGGAACGACACCGAAGCCACCAGCGGGCACACGGACCAGGGACAGAAGCTGCCCCCGCACCCTGCACCCCTCCCCAGGTGAACACAAGCCCCAAAGCAGGTCACCGGCCTCACCCAGGTTCGGATTTAATGCTTGTGCTCTTTGTCTTTCCCCAAATCTCCCCGGGAAAGAACTCGTTTCACAGTTTCTACCTCAATCAAAAGCTTCCGAATAGCTGTTCCTTAGAAGCTTAACAAAAATAGGGGAGCGCCATGCAAACGTCCTGAGAGACCGGACCCAGGCGAGGGGCGCGGATGTCCCTCTACCAGCTCAGCCCCAGGAAGCAGGACCCGCGGACTGCCCGTGGCCACAGCCTGGGCCTGGTGGGGGCAGCACTCATGACACCCCACAGGCAGGGAGAGGCCGAGCAGAGCCCATACTGACCATTTTCCTTTGGGTTTCGTGGTCAGATCCACGCAGGCGAAGTGAAACCACTCGATAGGACACTGCGAGGCAGAGGGGAGAGCTGCAGTCAGGACTCCGTGTGCCCCCCGCCCCCGCACCCCTGCACCCCCGGCCCTGGGTGCAGGGCCCTGCCCGAGGCCCGTGCACGGCGCCCAACACTCACGTCCGGGTTGTCACAGCCTATCATCTCCCCGTAGGACACCTGGTGGCACAGGCAGTAGGTGGGCTCATTTGGGTCCACGGGCATGTCCAGCACGTCAGAGGGGTGCACGGACAAGATGGTGTCGGTGAACTCAGACCTGCGGGGAAACCACAGCAGTGAGCAGCAGGTGTGGGGGGAGAACGGACTGGCCCCTTCGTACCAGACAAGATGGGGCACAAAGGCACCCCAGAGGACGTGAGGGGACGCACTTACTACCCACTCTGGGGTCGTGAATCCATCCCTGTCTCCTGCCTCCAACCTGCTCCCTGGGCTCCC